AAACTGTCGTCTACCTCTTCTTCGTCAGGATCTTCCTGATTCGGGTCGCGCTCCCAAGAGAACTTGCGTGTCCAGGGAGTGGTCGTCTTGTATCTGTTTCTGTCCTCGATAGGTGTCGAGGGCTAGAAGGTAACTTGAATCTTTTGTTACGACTTGGATGGTATCTGTTGGCGACGCTCAAACAGAGCTTGTGTCGTCAACGGTCTGTGGACGTCCTTGGGCTAGCCCAAGGTTAGGGGTCGTACTTGGCGTGTCTTCGGCAAGTACGATTTAACGCCTATGTCCAAATCGGGTAGCTTATGTCACGCGGTTGCGAGACGATAAGCTATATCGGCCTAGGCTTACGACACCCGAAGGTTAATCGTAAGGATCGTCGTTAATTAGAAGGACAGAAGTCCGACTAGTTAACAGGGGCTTTGCTCGTCGACGAAGTCGATGAGTAAAGGTCGAGACTATAGGCTTATCCGCGAAGAGCAGATAAGAAGATAGAATATAGACTGCTGGCGAGGCAGAAGGATCACTCTGGTGAGAGTAGGAGGTCAAGAACCAAGTAGATTCAAGTTAGGGAATATGGTACATGGTAGCGAGTTTATATAGAGGACAGGGGACGTATTAGTGGATGATAACTCGTACTACCGGGAGAGGCAATCGGTAAAGGGTAAGACCATAATAGGAAGGCACGTTCGATCTAGGTAGAACGTGCTGGATAAGAAAGTGAGTCAAAGATCAGAATGAGAAGTGAAACATGCAGGGGCACGATCGTGCAACTGCGGAACTAAGTATAAACCGCATGTGCGACTGCGCACCGAGTCAGAGATCAAGAAAGGAAAGGGGATGCGTCATGCATCGTGTCATAGGTTACCGTCCGGACGGTAAGGGCAAGGGGACTGTCCACAGGATCAGTCAGGTGGAGAAACGGAGCATGGGTATGCTTCGTCAGCGAAAGGATCCGGCCAAATGTACTGGCTCTGCTGAAGCGACAGGTAGAGGGCGAAAGGGAATGCGAGGGTGACGAGGATGACAAGGGTAAGGTCGGGGTAAGGGTATGATGCGAGGGCTGATACGAGGAGGATCAGGAGAAAAATAGTAGGGGCCCAAGCGTCTAGATGTTCTTGTAACACCGTCGGCTAGACGCCGACAGTCCCTCTAAGAAGCCTGACGCCAGCGAAAGCCGGCGCGGCTATTTAGCAGGTCAAGGTCTCGTTCGTTATCGGAATTAACCAGACAAATCACTCCACCAACTAAGAACGGCCATGCACCACCACCCATAAAATCATGAAAGAGCTATCAATCTGTCAATCCTAGTCATGTCTGGACCTGGTGAGTTTCCCCGTGTTGAGTCAAATTAAGCCGCAGGCTCCACTCCTGGTGGTGCCCTTCCGTCAATTCCTTTAAGTTTCAGCCTTGCGACCATACTCCCCCCAGAACCCAAAGACTTTGATTTCTCGTAAGGTGCCGAGCGACACATCAAAAAGAGGTCGCCCGATCCCTAGTCGGCATAGTTTACTGTTAAGACTACAACGGTATCTGATCGTTTTTTTTTTTTTTTTTGGTGAGTATGAGGACATCCTCTCAAAGGACTCTAGGGTGTTTATGTCCTAGTCGTGTGGGGGTGACTTCTATTTTATGCTGCTCCTGTCAGGTTACTCATCGACCCACTAAAACCTCAATGTGCATGGGAATTTAATCAGAGATTTGGTTGACTCCAATTCTCGCACCGCTGTTCGAACATTATATCACGGCAGGAGCGGCGACATAATTTCAATCTTGGCATTTCTGTCAATTATGGTTTTGATACCATACAGCCTCTAATGTAGCCTAAGCTCTCTCAACAAGGAGGGGACGTTCGCCGGACTTGCACTCCCTGCATTGGTTATTCCACCGGTGGATTGTTGGTTATTCTATATGGCTGAAGGAGGATGTATTGCGCGGTAGCCCTTTCATTTTGTGCCTGCACTGGCTGCCTCATAGAAGAAACTTATTTGTGTAAGGTTAAGCCACACCTTTTGTTTATTTGTTTTCAGTTGATGGGGTTTGTGGGGATTTTTGGTTTTTGTTGTGGGTGGGGGTCTTGAGATTTTTTGAGATTTATTTGATGGTGGGGGTCGCAGGGTTTATTTGTCTTATTTATTTTAATCAGTGGGGATTGTGAGGTTTATTTTGTCGTCTTGTAGGGTTCCTAGTATATTGTTTTTGAGCCAACACTCCTCGAAGTTGTGTTTGGCGAGTTTCTGTTTCAGGAAGGGTTGTTGGTTCGTCAGCATCCACTCTGTTAGGATGCGGATTTTTATTGCTGACGCCCATCTTTCCCTTAGTGTTTTTTTGGTGATTGTTTTTTCCGCTATTCTACGTTCATTTCTGGCTTTCCAGATCGCCCATACTGTTTCCAGTATGAGGTGAACGTAGAGGTTTGTTGCAGCTTGGTTGTGGTTTTTGTTTATTTGTATTTTCATTATACCAATGCCTTTAAGGACATTGATATTGGGTTCTATGAAGGGGTTGTTTGGGTGGATCTTATTCCATGTGTTTCATACTAGTGACCATAGTTCGGTGTTGCCGAATTCACTACAGTCAAATAGTATGTGTTTAGGGGATTCGATTTCTTGACATGGGCAGAATTGTTTGTCGGCCCATGTAGGTATGTTGGCGAAGAATTTTCCGCATTTTACTGCGTCGTGGGTCATCTTCCATAGGAAGTCGCTTATGTTTTTGGGGATCTTTTTCTTTCTTTGGGACGTCCATATTTTGTCCTCGGTTATGGCCAGTCCCATGTTTCTTTTAAAGTATTTTATTGTGGATTCTATGCTTGATTTTGTTAGGAATCTTTGTGTTTGTTTTTTGTCTTTTTTGGAGTTTATTATTCTGTATGCTTTGTTTTGGGAGAGCGATTTTAAGGCTGCTCCTTCGTTTATAAAATGGTTTATGGGTTCAGGTTGTTCCCATTCAGTTGGGTTCATTGTGTTTTTCGCTTTTTTGAGGAGCGATTTGTGGTAGTTGTGGTTTTTATTGTATGTTTGGAAGGACGTTCTCGCTCCTCTTTGTCGGAGGAGTGATAGCGTAGTTTTCCAGGTGTTGGGGTTTGGGATTTTTAGCCAATTTTCATCTTCGTATTCTTTTATGTTTTTCAGTAATTGATTTGGTACTGAGGGGGTCTTTGTCACTGAAAGTGATGTGGTCATTCGGTAGGTGTTCTAGTGCATACATTATTCCTGTTAGGGTTTGGTCTTCTATATTTTTAGAAGCTGTGTTTTTTATAATTATGGTTTGGATCGGGGTTGTAGTCATAAGAATGGCTATTATCTCAGGATCTTGTTCGGATCCTAAGAGCAACACCGACAGTGTTCGTTGGTTTGGGTGGGGTTCTGTTCTTATTGGTAGAGGGAGTCCTAATCTACGATCGTTGACGGATCGTACTTTGTATGAGAAGGACTCTCTGAATATGCGGGCTGTTTCGTATGGGTTTTCGGCTTCGTTTTGTGTAGCAGGGTTAAATGCTATGGGGTCTTTGGTTATTTTTGTTTTTTGGTATTTTTTGATTCTGTTTGGGGTATGTTCCAGGTTGTCAGCCTGGGGGACATACATTTTTGTTTGGAATTTTGGTGGTAGTTCCGCCAAAATGAGCGTCGCTATGTTATAGCATCGGTCTATTTCGTTACAGGGGATTGTGTTAGGATCATTGGAGTATGTGAATTTTTCTAGGTCTTCAGTTGTCACAATTTTGTGAGTGTTTCTTAGGCATCGTGCGGCTTTTCTGTTCCACGGGTAGTTATTTTTTATTGCTGGGTGATGCCATATTGGCATCATGTTTTTTATCGATTTTTTTGCATGTAGGAAATCAATTCCTATGTTGTACTTTCGTGCAACTTTCAGCATTCTTGTTATGGTTTTAGGGATTTTAGCCGAGGGGGCTTGTGATTCATGCCATGATTGAAGTAACCATGAGATTTTGTTTTTTGGGTCAATTATTGGTGAGGGAGTTACATTGAGTTTTATTATTTCGTCGGTTAGGTTTGCCCATGTGGGTCTGTTGTCTGTGTTTAGCCATTTTTTGAGCCAGATGATTTCTATTGCTTTGAGGCGGGTCGATATATTTGGTATACCGAGTCCTCCTTTTTCTAGGCCTCGGGAGGCTTGGTTCATTGTCACTAATCCCTTTTTCTTTCCATCCCATAGGAATTCTTTGGTTATTTCTTCTATTTGTGTTTCAATATTTTTTGGCATTCCGCACACTGTTGCAAGGAACAGTGCTCTAGAGTGTATGAGGGATTTCAGTATGAGTTCTTTTCCTCTGAAGGATAAGCGGTTTGCTTTCCAGGTGTTTATTATTTTTCTTTGTTTTTCTATTATGGTTTTCCATTGTGTGTCTAGGTTTATACCGTTGCCCACCCATGCTCCCAGCGTTCTTAGTGAAGCTCCTTCTGGGATTATTGTTTTTTCGGGGGGAATGGTGTAGGATTCATTTATGATTCTTGTTGATATTAAATTTATTCTATATTCTTTTTTCCCTATTGGGAGGTATTCGGTTTTTCCTTCATTGAATTTTGCTGTCGAGGCCAGACAAAATAGGTTTATGGTTTTATCAATTTCTCTGATGTCATCCACTACTGTGGTGTAGATGAGGGTATCATCCGCAAAGACTGAGATTTTGGTGGGTTCAGGGTGATTTGGGATTTGTATTCCTTTTAGTTTTTCGTGTGATCTGATGGAGGCTGCTAACGGTTCGATAGCGAGGTCGTATAGGAGACAGGCCATGGGGTCTCCCTGTCTTACTCCTCTTCCTATCTGAATGGGGTCTGGGACCAGGCCATTCACCATTACGTGCGTTCTCACATCCAAGTATAGTGTTTTTATGAGGTTTACGAATTTCATGGGAAATCCGAATTTTTCGAGAACTTCCCATAGGTAGTCGTGTGCAATTTTGTCATAGGCTTTTTCCTGGTCTAGGGTTATGATGCATCCATTTATTTCTACTGTTTTGCAGTAGTCTACCATCAGGGTTGTTAGGTGTGTGTGATCGTATAGACTTCTTCCGGGTATAAAGCCGGCTTGGTCAGGGTGTATTAGGGATGGCGCTACTTTCCCTAGCTTTTTTGCTATCGCCCGTGTCATAGTTTTGTAGTCTGTATTAAGTAGCATTATTGGTCTGTAGTTTTCGATTTCTTCTCTATCTTTTTTCTTATAGAGGAGGGTCATGACTCTGACTGTGAAGTCTTTGTCATTGGTTCCATGGATGAATATGTCCCGGAAGACTTCGTATAATATTTCTATTATATCCATCTTTCCTTCAAGTTCCTCTCTTGCCCATGTTTTGTAGAACTCGTAGGGTAGACTGTCTTTTCTGGGAGATTTTCCATTTTGTGCTTGGGTGAGGGCTTCTTTTATGTCTTCTCTAGACAGTGGTTGGTCAAAGGTGAGTTGTTGTTCCTCATCTAGTTTTGTTTCGATTTTTTCAAGGACTTCACTTATAGCTTCCTTGCGGGGGGCAGTCATTGGTATGGGAGTTTGTAGGCTTTGGTGGTAGTCTGTGGCTATTAAAGACATTTCTGTTGTTGATCTTTGTGTTTCGCTGTCTTTGTTTTTGAGCGCCAATATGAGTTGGGCTGGTTTTGTTTCTTTATTCATTTGGTACCAGTATTTGGTATTGGCTTCGCCTTTTTCGCTGTATCTGGCTTTAGCTGCCCATTGGAGTTTTTCTATGTTGTCATAGAGGAATTTGTTCAAGGCTTTTCTGAGGGATTCAATTTTTTCTTGTGTCGATGACTCAAGATGTGTTCTTTGTTTTTTAAGGAGTTTTTGTATTTTTCTTTTGATTCAGCTGTATGCTGATTTTGTTTATTTCATTTTTTGTTATTTGCCAGATTTTTTGTGGGTTTATGTGTTCTCTTAGGGATTTTCTTTCTTCCTTGTTAGAGGATTGGTATTTGGTTGTGTATTGGGTGATCAACTTGCAGGTTTGTTTTAACAGTTTTTGTATTCTCTTTTTAAAGGCAGGGAGTTGTTCTGTGATGTTGCTTAGACGCCACAGTCCTTCATGCAGTTTTGGCAATCCTGATTGTGTGATCGTTACCAAGACTAGTCGGTGATCACTCAGGTTGCATGATTCATCTATTTTCCATTGTTCTGTGGTTTCGAGTATTTGTTTTTGAACGTATATACAATCAAGTCTTGCCGTGGCAAGAGGGGTTCTTTTTGTGAATGTGTAATCTTTTGTTTCGGTGTATTTGTCTCTCCAACCATCGATGAGTTCTAATTTGTTTATTATTTGGTTGACAATTTTTGTTAGTCCATTGTCATCAGGGTGTTCTGGGTATCTGTCTATGGCTTTTTCTACCATATTAAAGTCTCCTATGAGGATGGGGTTCGTCCATTGTTGAGATGATATATATCTCAGGACTTCTTCATAGAAGGCCTTTTTTGGGGTTTGGTCATTTGGGCTGTATAAGTTTATTATTTTGAATTGTTGCGATTCAGTGTTTTTAAAGTTTAGGACAGATAGTCTGCCTGGGATTACTATGGTGTGCGTCCATGTTTTGTTTTGTACTTTGTCCTTGTTTATGACAAAGGCGGTTCCTGCGGTGGTGTTGTTGTTATCGGTTGGGTTGTTGATAAATATTATTTTTGGGTTTTCAAGGTTTATTTCTTCCTCGTCTTTGTGGTTTAGCTTTGTTTCTTGTAGACCTATGATGTCTATTTGATTTAGTCTGACTAGTGTCGACAGAATTTTGTATTTCAATTTTTTGTTTTCTAGGTACCTGCCTTTGATGTTCAGTGAGGTGATTTTTATACCTTTGTGTTTCTTTTTTGTGTTTTTGTGTTTTGTTTTGTTTTTGTGTGAATCGTTTTGCCCTTCGTGTGACCCGGTTGAGTGACAGGGGCTGTATTGCGAACTGGGGTGGTTCTCGCATACTGGTGCAGAGCTTTGAACTGACTGACGTAGACTGTGCTTCGGAGCTTTTGCATGAATGTTTACACTGTCCGCCTCCAAACATGCGACAGCGGGAGTTACCAAATCCCCAATGTTACCGTCCTGTGATCCTCCAGGATGGCCCGAGGTAACATTCATAATAGTGTATGGTGTGCTCATCATTAATTAAGTTTAGCCTTTTTATTGGGGCCAGCCAAGTCTTTTGACAGTTTGTTTTTGGGTTTTTCACTAGCGTGATGCTAGTGGGGTTCTTAGTGTTTTTCGACATTTTTGGGGTTTATTTGGATTTGAGTTTTCGGTTTTTATTAGCGAGATGCTAATGTGTTTCGTATTTTATCTTATTTTATTCTATTTTCGATGTTTTTGGTTTTTGTTTGGGGTTTAATTTCAATTTTCAATGGCAGAACGCTAGTGAGTTTTGTATTTTTCGATGTTTTTGGGTTTTTGTTTTGGGGTTTGGTTACAATTTTCAATAGCGAAACGCTAATGAATTTCGTATTTTTCGATGTTTTGGTTTGTTGTTTGGGGTTTGATTATGATTTTCAGTTCGTGGAACGCTAATGAATTTCGTATTTTTCGACATTTTTGGTTTTTTATTTGAGGTTTGATTATGATTTTCAATAGTGAGTTTCTAGTGAATTTTGTATTTTTCGACATTTTTGGGTTTTTGTTTGAGGTTCAATTACAATTTTTACTAGCGAGTTGCTAATGAATTTCGTATTTTTCGATGTTTTTTGGGTTTTTGTTTGGGGTTGGATTGTGATTTTCAATAGCGAGTTGCTATTGAAGTTCGTATTTTTCGACGTTTTTGGGTTTTTGTTTGGGGTTCGATTGCGATTTTCAATAGCGAGACACTATTGAAGTTCGTATTTTTCGATGTTTTTGGATTTTTGTTTGGGGTTTGATTATGATTTTCATTAGCAAAATGCTACTGAACTTCGCAATTTTTGTTTATGGTTCAAAAGCCTGCCCTAAACTATCTAGGGTGAAGCTATTTTTTTGATTTTTGATTTTTGGTAATGGTTTCTGTTCTTTCTTTTAGGCTTTTAATAAGAGTTTTTGCACTTACTTTTTGTTAGGGTTCGTCAGTTTTTATTGTTTTGGTTTCGTTATTAGACTTCTGTGGGGTTTTATTAGCAGTTTCCTTATGGTCGACCTAAGGGGTTTTTAAGCCTGCCCTAAACCAATTCAGTTTTTGCTTGTCTCACCTTCGCCTTTCTTAAGGGCAAAGATATTATTCTTTATGGTCGACCTAAGGAGGTTTTTAAGCCTGCCCTAAACCAACTCAGTTTTACTTTCCTTACCTTCACCTTTCTTAAAGGCAAAGGTATTATAATTCATCAATAAGTTTATAGGATTTATGCTATAGACTTTCATCTTAGTTCATTCTTATTTGGTTTATTGGGGGTCTTAGTTTTTGTCATTCAAGTGTTTTTGTTCGCTTATATTTCTTGTTCTTATGATTTGAAGCTTTCACTTGTTTTTCGAGTCAAGAAATGTGCATCAATTCGCCATCTAATACGTGATAATACAAAGTCCAATGTCCAACATATCCACGCTGCCAACAAGTACGTGTATATAATCAAGTGGTTGAACTGCCATGCCCAGTATGCACCCCCCGGTAAAGCGACGATGTCCCTACTCAGTCCAGTCCTTGAGGATCAGATAGTCTTTCTTCCACCTGCAACAATCCCTCCAGTGTTCATCAGAATGACAGAACAGGCACAAAGGGTGCAACCGGAGTTTGAACTCTGTCCCTGAAGAGTCATTGTCCAAGTGGATCATGAGGCAGTTGAAGGACTCATGTCCCCAATTACTTTCCCAGGCTCATATCGCATCTACCACTTCGTCCTTGAGATCTCTATTCACAAGACCCTCAGAGAAATCAAGAGCTATGTGATAGTGCTTCAGCTCTTGCCACTTTCCTACAGCAATGGAATCTGTAGTCATTTTTGGGAGGAACTCTTTGAAACTGTTGTTAGACTTCAGTTTCTGTACGAGGAGCTCTTCCAGTGGCTCGCCTAGGGCCATCACTAGAGGTTGTATGTCCTTGACTTTTAACCCATCCGTGATAAGGACGTACTTTTCTCTAGGAACTTGATGGTGCTCATAAAAGAACACAGCTTTATGCTGCCTATAGTTCAAGACAACTTTAGCTTCGAGCAAGGTCTTAACGGCCTGCTTGGATTCAAGTTTGAGCAGGTAGAACCCACTGTGCGTCTGAAAGACAGCTTCCAGAGAAGCCATCTGGGGTTCAAGGAACAAAGCTGCCTCCCTAACTGTCTGGAGACAACTAGGGGTACACCTATTATCGCTATAGGGAATTGCCCAAATGGTATTGGGCAACTCCAAGATCTTGTCAGAGGGCTTGTCTCACATATAGCAATAAGGAGCCTGGTAATTGAAGTGGACTACTGGATTCGATATCATTCTCGCTCTACACCAGGGCTGCTCATCTGTGATCTCTGGCTCTGGTTCACCCAGAGGCGCTATAGGCCTATTCTTGTGAGCCAGGATTTTGGCTGCATATGTCGACACTTTTGGTGGGGACATAAGGGCATTGGAGTACAAGATTGTATGGCATGCATTGTCCTGATGATTGTGGAGAAGTGAGCATACAAGGATCAGAATGGCGATATCACCCTTTCTGGAGGATCAAAGTCCCCTATAAAAGAGAAATGAACTGATTCAGCAATGCTTCCATTCATGAATATATCAACATGTCAGCAACAATTCTTGGCCAAATATAACAATGACACAACAGTTGAAGGTTAGTTTTATCCATTTGTGAAGTTAAGTCTCATGGTGGTGTCAGCTCTTGATTATGACAGCATGTTTTGCTGTGTTCAACATGCTGATCAAGCATTCAACCTCAACCACTAGTTGCCAGGCCAAACTCTATTATCTATTTTTGCACAATTATGCCTTAAAATCTCCATGGATGTTAATGATAGTATTGCCGTGACTCTGACTTGCCGCCAGCTCAAGCCATAACTAGTAGCCCAGCTTAGCCAGACTGACAAAAAGTCGGACCTTCTAGAAGTCACAATTCCTGATTTGGCAGTTAAGCTGCAGTTCATAGTTTTAAGTCGGTCAACTGTTAACAACAAACATTTTCTACCATTCAATGAACATCGAACATTGAACATTAACTACTCACAGCCTTATCTTTGTGTGTACTAGTCCCATTAGTTTCATGGACTGTTGTCAATATAGGAGAATAAATGTAGTAAAATTTGAACACATCTTGATTTTTCAAATTTTTCACACTCAAACTTGAGTTTCTCATTGGTTCTCCTGCCTCAAGTAATATATTCATTTACCCAGTCAAAACAAATATTCACTATCAAACATCAATAATTAATGATATCAAACTACACAGTAACTGCCACATAAGATATCATTAGCTAAGCTTACTGTTACAAGAACATCTAGACGCTTGGGCCCCTACTATTTTTCTCCTGATCCTCCTCGTATCAGCCCTCGCATCATACCCTTACCCCGACCTTACCCTTGTCATCCTCGTCATCCTCGCATTCCCTTTCGCCCTCTACCTGTTGCTTCAGCAAAGCCAGTACATTTGGCCGGATCCTTTCGCTGACGAAGCATACCCATGCTCCGTTTCACCACCTGACTGATCCTGCGGACAGTCCCTTGCCCTTACCGTCCGGACGGTAACCTATGATATGATGCACGACGCATCCCCTTTACCCTGTTCCCTTTTATGATCTCTGACTCGGTGCGCAGTCGCACATGCAACTTATACTTAGATCCGCAGCTGCACGATCGTGCCTTTGCACGTTTCACTTCTTATTTCGATCTTTGACTCACTTTCTTATCTAGCACGTTCTACCCAGACTGAACGTGCCTTCCTATTATGGTCTTACCCTTTACCGATTGCCTCTCCCGGTAGTACGAGTTATCATCCACTAATACGTTTCCTGTCCTCTATATAAACTCGCTACCATGTACCATATTCCCTAACTTGAATCTACTTGGTTCTTGACCTCCTACTCTCACCAGAGTGATCCTTCTGCCTCGCCAGCAGTCTATATTCTATCTTCTTATCTGCTCTTCGCGGATAAGCCTATAGTCTCGATCTTTACTCATCGACTTCGTCGACAAGCAAAGCCCCTGTTAACTAGTCGGGCTTCTGCCCTTCTAATTAACGACGATCCTTACGATTAACCTTCGGGTGTCGTAAGCCTAGGCCGATATAGCTTATCGTCTCGCACCCGCGTGACATAAGCTACCCGATTTGGACATAGGCGTCAAATCGTACTTGCCGAAGACACGCCAAGTACGACCCCTAACCTTGGGCTAGCCCAAGGACGTCCACAGACCGTTGACGACACAAGCTCTGTTTGAGCGTCGCCAACAGATACCATCCAAGTCGTAACACTTACTTCCTGTGTCTAGGTGGGCCATGAGGTTATGTTGTGACTTCTTGACCTCATTCAGTCTGTGAACTTCGGATAGCAACATGTCTTCGAGAGTTGTCATTGACAATCCTCCTGTTATACTCAAGGGGAGCACTAGGCAAAGCCACTCCTTGCACCAAGCAAAGACCATTAAGCCTGAATACAAACCCTAGGTGAAAGCCACATCATGTTAAGATCATGCTCAAGGGTTTAATCCGAAGGGCTTGGCTTCAGCTCGTGCACTGCGCCCCTTACCTGAGTACATGCCCCTAACTTCCGAAGGCTAATGGACGATGTCCAGATTCTGATTGTCCAATGTGCGGGAATTCTGGCGGACGTTCGGGAACAGGTGATAAGACTAATCCGGATGATGTCTGAACTAGAAAGGAAACAGTGGAGGACTACCAAAGGTAGAGGTGGAGGTGATAAGTCTATCGGGATCAACCCTAAGACTAGCGGAGGTCGACGAGAGAATAACTCAAGTCAAACGGAGGGGAGAATGAGCAGAGTCTAAGATAATATTCGAACTAAAGATGTACATAGATTCTACAGGGTTTATATACTATGGAGGACTTAACAGAGGACAAGCCAGCGCAGTCTGAAGCTATGCGAGGCTGTGGACGGAGGTTATAGAAAAGTCAAACACTAGTCTATCGAATATAGTAAATGAAACCGGAGATGAGAACAGAGGAAAATAAAGGCAGAAGTGAAATGAGGTATGGAAAATAATATAGTCTAACTGGAATAGGAACATACAAAGGGATTAGGCACAGAAGTTAGACGCAGGGTCGGATCTGGACATAGATAGAAGTCAGTCGGATCCGGATATCCAGAAATGATGTGTGTGATACATCCGTGTCCGGAACACGGGATATGACACATCAACACCATCCTCACCATTTTCTGGCGATTTGAAAGAGGCGAAGATTCTCTAGCAAAACACAATTTTTCTGCTCAACCAGATACTAAACCTCCCTTGTGTGGAGTAGAAGAAATCCTGGGGAATACACTGTGCATGACTCCAGCTATCATCAACTCATTGTCAGAGTGATTGGATTATTTGGATAGCCTTCTATGTGAAGCCACCAATACTGACACACCTATTACAGGTATATTTAATAAACCAACTCACTTTAGTGCTTATCACTGATCAATATTTTCAAGGTCAATGCAACAGAGTCCTAGAGTTCTTATCCAACCCTGATCAAGAGATCGCCATATGCCACTTCCAGATCAATGAGCAATGTACAGGCCTGATTATTATTTCAGAATTTTTTTGATATTTGCCCAGGAGATATTCAGATACTATTGCACATAGTTGATCAGAGCAAGACCTTAGAACAGAGACCTTGGTATATTACAGATCAATGTCACTGATCATGTCTTATCACTAATGGTTTGATATATTTCTGGATAACCTTCATTTCAATTGCCAGCTTGTAGATATCTCTGTATTTTTTAATGGAATTATAAAAACCAAATATCTCTCTGCCATTCCTGATCTTCTCATCACCTTCACTGCAGGGCCCTGTTGCAAACCCATCAAAGAGGTCACATCTATCCTCGTCAAATCTGCATTTACTTAGGGTGCTGCCAATATTATAGAGAAACTTCAGAAAGAAATTATCGCCAAACCAGAAACAGTCATTGTGATTCTGGCTCTCATTGCTGAAGCTTCAACCTACAAGTCACCTGAATACTCATCCACTACATGGAACACACTATGCTGTGAAAAACCAGCTCATTTTTTTGAGTTATTCCTTGTTCTTCAGAAGGATGATTTACTACCAGAGGACCTTATTGTTGTAGCAAACCACTCATGGTTCAGTCTAGCATCTGTTGAAGTTTGAGTCTGGATAGGGGGTGATACCCTTATCAACATTAGCCTGCAGAGTGGAAATCATACAACATGTGGAGTACTTGTATTCATTATCCAGGTTTCATTAGTACTAACTAGTTGAAAGACTATCTGATCACTCTTTGCAAGCAGATAGACCCCAGCTATAATACTGCAATGTTGGAAGCATCTGACATTACCTTCCCTCTCTTGTGGGACCACATGCAGAACTCTATTGAGGTTGCAGGAGGAAGTACAACTCATAGCTGTTACCTGACATGATACCAGGCATCTGCCAGGGATGTAAAGTATCTGGAGCACCCAGTTTCTGATGATAGGCCCTCATCAGCATTAGTGTTAAATACCAGCGTCCATACCCTCTCTGATACCAGAGCTAGTAGTGACTCTGCCAATACATACTACAGTGACCATCTACATATTATACAGGTCACCTGACCTACATAATATCCTGTATAAGATGGGCCAGCAGACTATGGGCCAATGTTATGTATATCCTTGATGTTGACAGATGGGCTAGGAGGGATATTATTTCTGATGGAGGTGGGTGGGCCCATCTATGCCAATGTTATATATATCCTTGACAATGGTGGATGGGGGTAGGCCCATCTAGGGAATATGTACAGTAGGATGAACTAGTGCAGGCTACGATAATCAAATGGAGTTTGACTTACCAAAATCAGATGGATGTAGATATGGCTTTCATGATGATGCTGCCAATGAGGCAAATGTGAATGGCTCAGATCAATGTCCTTCAAGTGGCACTAGTCCCATTGGAGAGGCAAGTTGAGATGGTAGTGTTCCTCTTCAAGTTCCTGGTGTTATCAGAACATATCATCCTAATATCAATGGTGCATGTTAATTTCACTTGATGCTTATTCAAACTTGTGCTCATATACTCTTCTCTATGAAGGGAGAATTTGCGATGAACATGGAGATGACATACCCCCAGATACTCTGCCACCTCTGTTGTAGTAGGGAGGTTTGGCTCCTAGGAGTCTTGTGGGGGTGCCAGGGGTCTTGTCAGGGCCTTGAGGCACCCACATACATATAGTCTGTGCATGTAGTAGTCAGTCTTCACCATTGCATTCTCGTTCTGCTTGTTTGCTACTTGGTCTGAGTCCATCAGCCCTCGTCAGTGATGCCCTCTCCACCATGTCCTTCAAATCATGGACCAGACAACTGGACACCATATGCTAATTGAGTTGATTTTGAAGTTGCAGACTTCCTCTACCATCGCAACCAGATGTCGGGGGGCGATATTAATTTTATATTCAATCTGTGGGCCGCTGAAGATGAGGAATCTAAACTGTGGGAAAAGTTGGTGCTAAGCTAAGCAAACACAGATAGACCCAGGCGCGAGTGAAATGTTGACCCAAGGGCAGCTGTCTAGGTAAAGGGAAACCTCTCTTATAAAAAGAGGGACACCAAACTAATACTAGGGTAATAGGACTATAGGATGCACGAAGCACGAGGCGAGAGCAATGTGACGAACAATATACGGATGTATGAGTGCAAAAGGTGAAAGGCGAGATGTGCAACATGAAGGTAGTGCGCATGAGCAAGAGCAAAGTACAAATGAGTGAACAAGGCGAAAGAGAGAGGAGGCAAGACAACTAATAACACCCCAACTAAGGTGGGCTGATGTTAAGGTGAAGGCGGACAACCAGTGCACAAGACTTAGATGGTCACTGCAATCAACAAGTAAAATTCCCTTGTATCTAAGGACACAGAGAAAGTAGGCGAAAAATCAACCCAGAACATAAGTAATAGAGGGGTATAAGTAAAATAGCTAAGCGCTGCTAGGTGTGCAGGTTTCATGTAATGAGCTGAACAGGCTATAAATAGTACATAAAGTATGTAACAGGGTCTCGGCTACACGCAAAGTGCAAAGCTGAGCATTAGCGATGGAAACCAATTAAGCAAAATAGAAATATGATGGGAAAAATGCACCAATGGACTTCTGAGGACATGGGAAGGATGGATGGATAGGTATATGGACAATGTGAGTGCGGATGCACAAAGCATGTGAACGTGAAAGGCCGTGCACAAAACCTGTGAAATAAAACATGTGCGCTAATGTGCTAGATATATCCTGTAGATTAGAGCTTGAGTTTGTAAGGGAAGTGGGAGAATTCGGAGAGAGAAGTGTCTGTGGAGACGCGAGTCTCTACAACAGCAGAAGACTTTAAAATCTGACTGTCCCCAGTCAGCGCATTCACGCAAATGGACTTAGAGAAATCTCAGCAAAGTGAAGATCACGTGATTGTGGTCCGTATTCTGAATGAGAAGTACTGGCAGTTGGCCTCGTGACTTTGGGAATTAGTGCAAATGCTGACATAATTGTGGTTAGTGTGATTAAAAGAGTGCTATGTGGCAATGCATTGCTCTTCCATCTTTCACTATTACTGCATTTATAACATGTCCACTTTTGACCTCAACCTACTCGACTCTGTACATTCTCCCTCCCCTGAGCCTGAGGCTCCCATTGATGATGCAGCACCCGAGCCTGAATCAGATAATGCTTGTGTCGCCTAAACATGGGTCATGGTGCTTGAGTCACTTGACACGTCTGAGATGACACATCCAGATCTCAAACAAGAGCTCCTGGAGGACATAGAGACATGGCTACACGAGTGGGATTCACTCGAGGTGTGTTTCTCTTTTGTTTGGCAAATGGGTTTTGACTAATTTGTTTTCATAGGCCAACATTCGTGCATGTAGCAAGGACACAAACGAGGCAGATGTTGTGCTCACTCTGAGCGATGATGAGAAGACTAAGATGATAGAGCTGAAGCAATAGGCCATTGTCACCTGCAAGACAGTAAAGGATTGGAAGGTTGCGGCAGAGAAGTTGATGGAGTAGTCTCGCATTGCACGTGATGTGGGGCAGAAGGGGAAGGGTAAGGAGAAGGATGTAAATGTGGACATGGGGAAGCTGGTGAGTACTTATCATTTTTCTTTCTTTTTCCTGCGTGCTAATGGTTTTCCATGACAGAAATTGGGTGGGTGCATGTCGGCCAAGCGCACAAACAATCCAAAGTGTGAGCGTTGCATTACGTGCAACATTTCTTGCATGGAGGGTTGTACCTTGTGTTGCGTGCTGTGCAACAAATTGCATGTTGCATGCTCTTTTGGTGAGTCTTTTTCACATTATTTATTAACCTTTTTCTAACTTGTTTTAAGCTGCTAAGTGTAAGGCCACTGGTGCTGCAGGTCCTGCTCACAAGGTGGCTTGTGTTGCTGGCGGTCACGCACCTACAGGGCTGACTTTGGCAGATGATGCTGACCCTATGGGCAAGTCCAAGGTTGAGGTCAAGGAGGTTGCTCCTCCGGCTCCTGAAAAGCCTGTTCATGTGACGATTTGCCTGCCCATTTGCACGGTTGCAGGGGGTTTGCGGGTGGATGGTGAAGGAGAGCTGGTTCGACTTCATGCAGAAAATGCATGCCTTACCAAGGAGAACACTTGTCTGCGCACCTCACAGGAGGAATACATGCAGTTCATCCAGAACATGTGCCAGCAAGCTTGGGCACAACAAATCGAATTTGTTGTGATGAGCAATAAGATTTATGCATGGTCAGATGACTGGAGGGAAATGGGGTGGGAGATGGAAGACTTTGTCGTGGGGCAAGAGCACTCGCAAAAGTAGTTAGACCCTACTTTAGTTTTGTTCTTTTTTTCTTCTTCGCCCGCCGTCTTCACACGTCTGTACCATATGTCTGTACCATATGTCTGTCCCTTTGTGCGTGCTTTGTGCTTACTATACTCTTGTTTTTCCTCACTCCATTGTACAATATATCAGGTTCACATTGTGTCTGAATTTTGCGTGATCCTCGTGTTAAGTCCCAGTCCATGTCTGTTACGACTGGGATAGTTCTGCTGTTGCCGGTCAAGATAGACCTGTCGGGCGAACAGTTCGTCGGCCTTCCTAATACAAGGAAGGTTTCTGGTGGTTCCTACTGCACGAGCCGCGGCTTCTATGCAGGATCAGCGGCGAGTGGTTTTAGCACTTCTGCCTAGGCGGTGAGTGGTTTTAGCACTTCTACCGCAATCAAGGGTTTCAGGCTAAGACAGTGAGTGACTGTCTTAGAATCAGAGTTCAGGCTACTAAGGGTGGAGACCTTAGTAGATCAGGTTTCAAGGGGAGAACCCAGTAGATTAAGTTAAGGAATAAATCTATGGTACATGGGATTTATATAGGTAAAAGGAAGCGGCGTAGCCGCGACAAGAAAGGTAACAAAGATAGGAAAAAGAGTACAACCTATCAAGATAGCAAAGATAGGTGAAACCGCCATGCGGCGCAAGATAGTATCTATGTTACAATCAAAGAGAAGAGAAGTGCGGACAGCCCGCTTGATAAGAGAATAGCCGGGTCTAGATGAGTCTAGAATCGGCGTCATGGTTCCAAGAAAGGGAAAAAATGAAATAGGAGTAAATGTTATTGTAACAATGTCCATGTCCAAAGAATCCATTGGACCTGGATACAAATGAAGTAGAACTGTGAGCAAGTGTGATATAATTAGAATTAAAAGGAAATATTTAGCCGTATATGCGTGATTGTGTGAGCTTCATGCTCAACTTGTCTTCTTTATGCAGCTGTCTGTGTCTGCTCCTGCTTTGAGTCATTAGGGTGGTCAAGTATCATCTATATAAAAATGGGTGTGGCGCAGCTTCGCGCATTCAAAATAGAAGGTCTATGTGGATGGTTATGCGCGCATGAGTCACTAGGTGAACTTATCTGTATATAATGTTACAGTTATTACATGTGATATGATAGAGTCTGTGGTTTTTGTTATGTTCAGCAAATGCACAGGATATATAATGAGATGCGAGAGAGAAACTGAGGTCACTGGATGAAACCCAGGGTAAAACTGAGAGTAGATGCTTCTAGCAAGACTGTGTTTTTGTATTTTCTATATTTTTGCTATGTTTTTGTTCTTTTGACTGTGGGATGATATGTACGAGGGCGAGGGTCGGAAATTTGGGAATGCAGGGGTGCGGATATGAGGGTACGCGATGAGCGAGCCTTCGCCCGCTATTTGTCGTGTGTGCACTCAGGTTCATCTTCACCGGGTTCTATAGTTTTGTTAGCTCCTAAATGGTCTATACTTTCGTCGTCCATTCTGGTCATCTGTGTGACAGATACATGATCCTCGCTGCTGGATAGTGGGGTATTACGCAAAATGCAGCGAAGCGTAGCTTGGATATCGCACTGTCTAACTCTGCGAGCATATAAGAACCTCCTTTCGTGTGCCACACAACCATCATTGGTCCAAGATAGCACAGCTTTGTCTCCTTGCTAAGCTTGTACTTGACTTTCGAGTTGCATACAAGAACTAGCACACTGGGTTCAAAGTCATAAGACTTGATAGACATGCAAAAGTGTTTCTCGAAGTCACAAATCAACTTGAATTGTGCTTTGACAACCTGATCTTTGATTGTGTCAAGGTCAGCTTTGTGCTTCTGCAATTGGTGCGCATGCCATGCTATAAGGTCAGCAGTGGTAAATGTGCCTCAGCTCGGCAAAGGAGCGAGAAATGTTGCTTCAGCTAAGTCAAACGGAAAAATAGGCTCAACACCATGAACCATAAAATATGGCAATAGGCCCGTTGCGCAATGAATAGTAATGCACTCGGCCGAGAAGACAGAGTGGACAACTTGGTACCATCGCAAGTCATCACCATTGCAACTTTTGATGATGGCCTCCTGGACATTGTGGTGTTGTCTTTCAACTATACCATTTGCCTGGGAGTCGTATGGCAATATGCAAATTGGGTGAATCCCGTACTTTCGTGTGAGCTCATCTACCACAAGCCTGTGTTACAAGAACATCTAGACTGCTTGGGCCCCTACTATTTTTCTCCTCATCCTCCTCATATCAGCCCTCGCATCACACCCTTACCCCGACCTCGCCCTCGTTATCCTCGTTATCCTCGCATTTCCTTTCGCTCTCTACCTGTCGCTTCAACAGAGTCAGTACATCTGGCCAGACCCTTTTGCTGACGAAGCATACCTGTGCTCCGTCCCACCACCCGACTGATCCTGTGGACAGTCCCGTTGCCCTTACCGTCCGGACGGTAACCTATAATACGACGCATGCTGTGTCCCCTCCACCCAGTTCCCTTTCTCTGATCTATGACTCGGTGCGCAGTCACGCATGTGTACTTATACTTAGCTCCGCAGTTGCATGATCGTGCCCCTGTGCGTTTCACTTCCTATTTTCGACCTCTGACTCACTTTCTTATCTGCACGTTCATGTTCACTCGTGTCTTACCTCGAATGTGCTTTCCTTTTATAGTCTTACCCTTTACCGCTTACCTCTCTCGGTAGTACGAGTTATCACCCACTAATATGTTTCCTGTCCTCTATATAAACTCGCTACCATGTACCATATTCCCTAACATGAATCTACTTGGTTCTTGACCTCCTACTCTCACAAGAGTGATTCCTTCTGCCTAGCCAGCAGTCTATATTCTATCTTCTTATCTGCTCATCGCGGATAAGTCCTTGGTCTCGATCTTTACTCATCGACTTTGTCGACAAGCAAAGCCCCCTGTTAACTAGTTGGACTTCTGTCCTTCTAATTAACGACGATCTTACGATTAACCTTCGGGTGTCATAAGCCTTGGCAGATATAGCTTATCGTCTAGCATCCGCTTGACATAAGCTACCCGATTTGGACATAGGCGTCAAATCTTACTTGCCGAAGCCTCACCAAGTAAGACCCCTAACATTGGGCTAGCCCAAGGACGTCCTCGACCGTTGACAACACATGCTCTGTTTGAGCGTTGTCAACAGATACCATCCAAGTCGTAACAATCTACCACAAGCCTGTATGCGGGCACGTTGTCTGTCATGATTTTGGTAATTGGACCCCATCTGCAAAGAAATTCTTCAAAGATAAAAGCGGTTAGCAACTTGGTATTCTCTTTGCACAACATGCGCCATTCGTGATACAATGTTAGTGTGCAGTGCACTTGCACGAGATATTTGAATCCGCCCACTCTGGGCATCTTTATTGTATCAATGTGCGCTTTGCAAAACAAACCTTTTGGTATTGGTATGGTCAGCAGAATATGGAGCTTTCACATCTGGCGAACTTGACACTCATGGCATGTTCGCACGTACCACTTTATGTCTTCGATAATGTGCAGCCACCAAAAGTGTAGTAGCAGCCACACATGCATGGTGTAGACACCTTTATGGCTGAGGTCATTGTGCACTTCCTTAAGAAGGCAATATCACTTGCATGGCAGTGCTACTAGCTGGTGCTTTCCATGGGGTTCTCTATGCCAGAGATTGCCCTCAAGGATGAAGAAGTGCACAGCATAGTTAACAAACACTGCAAATTCATGATCTGAAAGGTCAGCGGGTCATTCACACAAAATAAGGAACTTTTTGGTTAATACAAGCGACGCGTCAAGCGCTTGCACAGCCTCTGAGCAAGGAATGGTCGGCTCTGGTTGCTCTTCTTGCACAACGTCTAAGAAGACGTGATGTACTGGTGTGCATGAGTCTAGTGAATGGTGCGCATTCTGATGCACTGTGGCAGACAAGTTGGGAAGTTCTATCATTGAGTAATGCGACTCCAAATGAGTATGCACAATCAATCCAATCTTCCTGGTCATTGTCCTCCTTGAGAGACCGATGTCTTAATAACCGAGGGTCTTATATAAAGTCGTGTAAATGTAATGACACCACAATTACACTTTGGATAAGACTGCTTGCCAGTCCTCAATTAACACAGTCTACGACTTTTCCTATTTTGTGGTAGATAATGTGTGAGTTCTTGGGAGGCTCGCTAAACTAATCTTTTTATAAAGATCAACCTAGCCAGAGCTTTACTTTTCTTTATTGAAACTCAAATCTCTTGTCTAGGAATAAGCTTCTAGACACGTAATTCGGTTTCTGGAATGTATTTGCCTAGGAAATCTCCTTCTAGGCTCTGAACTTGGATACTGGAACTAGTGAGACGTGGTCTCAAATATACGAAATATGACCAAGATCGCTTGGTCTATGGACACCTGACTGTGAGACAATGGTCTCAAATATACAATATATGTTCAAGATCGCTTGAACAAAGGGGACTATAACTTGACCAAGATCACTTGGTCTATGGGACAACTAGTGAGACGTGGTCTCAACAATATGATAGATGACTAAGATCGCTTAGTCAAAGGGCACAGAGCAATGAGACAAAGGGGTCTCAAAGACAATATATATGACCAAGAACACTTGGTCTATAGCACTAAATAAGTTTCTAAGGTAAGAAACTTATAATCTCAAGGGAATTCTTTTCTCTGCACTTGTCTCACTTCAAAGGGACTAACTTTGCAAGTGAAATATCTGATAGGCAGATTGCTACAAATGGGAGATCATATTTTTTTGGGGGAGAATGGGCTCTCCTTATATACATTTTGTATGGAAAAGTAACCTAGGTTCACAAACAATAAAAAATAAGGAGGACCAATCAAAATATTGGGTCAAACCCAATAAAAGAATAAAATACAAGTGAAAGATGGAGCTATGACATCATTGTGGAGCAGAACATTCTGGAATGTGGAGTAATGACATCATTGTGGAGCAAAAGATTCCAGAACCTTCCATGAGTGAATCATTGTGGAGCAGAATATTCTAGAAGGAAATGACATCATGAATGATGTCATTGTAGAGTAGAATAATCTAGAGCTTGATGACATAATATCTTTCAACAGAATACCTGCAGGAGTATCTGTGGAGTCTTATGACTTCATAATGACATCATACCCTATGGGTACAATTTTATGAAGTGTCAGGTGAGTCAAAGCATCCTAATGAAAAAGTAAAGTAAAGAAACACTAGAGAAAAGTAGGTAGCAAAAATAAGACAGTTGGCAGGAATTGAAACACGGTCTTTTTGGATAGGTTTTTTATAGGCTTTGTACTTTTCTCTATGGTTTTCTCTAGCCAAAGTGAATAAGCCAAAGGCAAGGCTATACCTTAACCTTCATTTCTCTTCTCACATCAACTAGGTCTAAATGTGATTCCCATCTCACATTAGACTTTTTCCGTCAAAACATATTCAGATCATGAAACTTGGGGAAAACTGGAAATATGGACCATGGTTTGAAACCAAGGTATGGGTTGACTAGTCTGAGGACTAAGCTAACAGACTTTATCTTTTGAGTGTCACCTAGTATTCATGTCCATGCATGATTCCCACATCATGCAGGACAACACGATAAATTCCGCACAAGCTAAACAATGTGTGTTTGGTCTGAGTACCCTACCAGTAGTCTCAGTAGTGCCCCTCGCAGTGGGCTCCAGTTGAAGATGAGGAATCTAAACTGTGGGAAAAGTTGGTGCTAAACTAAACAAACACAGATAGACCCAGACATGAGTGAAATGTTGACCCAAGGGCAGCTATCTGGGTAAAGAGAAACCTCTCTTATAAAAAGAGGGACACCAAACTAATACTAGGGTAATAGGACTATAGGACGCGCAAAGTGCGAGGCAAGAGTGATGCGACAAATGATATATGGATGCGCGAGTGTGATGCAAAGGTAGCATACACAAGCGAGAGCAAAGTATGAATGAGCGAACAAGGCAAAAGAGAGATGAGGCGAGACAACTAATAACACCCCAACTACGGTTGGCTGATGTTAAGGCAAAGGCAGACAACTGGTGCACAAGACTTAGATAGTCACTGCAATCAACAAGTGAAATTCCCTTGTATCTAAGGACACAGAGAAAGTGGGCGGAAAATCGACCCAGAACATAAGTAATAGAGGGGTATAAGTAAAATAGCTAAATGCTGCTAGGTGTGCAGGTTTGATGTAACAAGCTGAACAGGCTATAAATAGTACGTGGAGTATGTAACAGGGTCTCGGCTACATGCAAAGTGCAAAGCTGAGCATTAGCGATGGAAACCAATTAAGCAAAATAGAAATATGATGGGAAAAATGCACCAATGGACTTCTGAGGACATGGGAAGGATGGATGGACTGGTGTATGGACAATGCAAGTGTGGATGTGCAAAACTGCACAAAAGGCTGTGTGCAAAACCTGCAAAATAAAACATGTGCGCTAATGCACTAGACATATCCTGTAGATTAGAGCTGGAGTTTGTAAGGGAAGTGGGAGAATTCAGAGAGAAGTGTCTGTGGAGACTCAAGTCTCTACACTACCTCATTAGCGATTCATGGTGAAACACCGCCCTTTGCAAACCATGTTGAGATGTACAATGTCATTGATTCAATGCTTCTAGGTGATGTCGCCTGGCAGAGTTTTACTTCAGAATATAATGGCACTCTATCCTGAAAGTGATGTTCCTGTCATGGATGACATCAGAGTATGATGTGTGGTTCCGAGATCCTTGGATCCTCATGCACAACATGCTCTCCAACCCAGACTTCGAAGGTGAATTCGACTATGCTCCGCTACAGGAGTATGATACCAGCAACGGAGCACATTGCTTTAAGGACTTTATGTCTGGTGATTGGTGTTGGAAGCAGGCTGTAAGCCGTTTTTCATTCTTTTTTCCAAGTTTCTCATCTCTCATATTTCACAGGATTTGATTGCCAATGATCCCAATACAATTGGATCCATGTTTGTTCTAATAATCCTCAGCAGTGATAAGACTATGGTCTCCGTCACTACCAGACACAACCAATACTGGCCAGTTTATTTGTTGATCGGCAACATCAGCAATAACATGTGATGTGCACACCGCAATGGTGTTATATTGCTGGGCTTTCTAGCCATTCCGACAAGTACATGTTTTAATCTGATATTGTCTGTTGCTGGTACTAATTAGATACATATATTTAGCTGACAAGGAGTCCACCAAAGATGCACACTTTCGAAAATTCTGCTGTCAGCTTCTCCACTCATTGCTGGCAAAGATGCTGGAATCCCTTAAGCCAGGTATGACAACACCCAAGGTTGTATGCTCCCTCACATACTGAAGTCTTAGTGGAGGAATTTGAGTTAGGTGTGCTATGAGATGGATATGGACTTGTAGGAGACATTGTGGTTTGTACCTTCATTATCGTAGTCATCATATAAGCTGACAACTTACAATATACGTTGAAGGTTCAACAATTCAGATGGTTAGTCTGAACAATGTTGGGTCTTGCTGCCTAGCTACATTGTCTAGAAGACAGTGTTCGACCCTAAAGGGTTTCTGTACTAAGCTCAAAGCTCAGAGAGAGAGGAAAACTACTAAGACTCTGACTGGTGATGGAAACTGGTGAAAAGGTAAGTTCATTATGTAAGCTACAAAATAGCAAACATAAGGTAAAGACAGTATCTACAAGCCTAGTCAGGAATGAGTCTCTACAACGTGTTCTACAGCCATTCACCAACTATTTTCCATGAACTGACATACATGAGCTCCTCTCTCCTGACATTTTACATCAGCTGATAAAGGGTGCATTTAAGGACCATATTGTCACCTGGGTACACAAATACATTAAGGCTCAATTGTTAAGGTTGTACTCTCGTATTAGCGGATCCAATAGGGCTTTAGCCTCAGCTCATATGCTGTGCCCCTTTCCCAAGTACTGCCCGTTATTTCAGAGAGGGAGGTATAACACGTCCGGAGGGTTGGACAAGTATCGTATTGATATCCGAAGGTCTTCTGGATAATGAAAACATGTGTAAGACTAATCTGGACAGGTCTGGACTAGAAAACAACAGAGTATAGACTATCCGAAGATAGAGTCAGAGATGTAGACTTATAGGATACAATCCTTAAGTCTTGGAGTATGACCAGAGCTTAACTAGGCTCGAGTCCAGGAGGACGGAAAGAGAACAAACTGAGATGATATTCAAACTGAGGTACTACAGGGCATATACAAGAGTTTATATACTAGAGGAACATCCGAGGCTATGCACAAAGTATAAGCAAAGTTATCACAAGTCAAAACGCGAGTCAGAAATGAAACACAGGTCAACGGATCATAAAGCATAGCCAGAAGTAAGTATAACCAAGATACCGGGAACAAGGAATAGCCAATAAAGGAATAGGCTGTGTATTAATGTTATATGAACAGGAAATGAATAAAGAAGCTTATCGTATATCAGATTGGAAGTGGATCTGTACATCAGATCAGATCAGATCTAGGCTCCAAGGTCTGGATGAGAAGCGTGGATACATGGGATATGACACTCAATACTCGGAAAATGAGGCGAATAAAATATTAGATGATATTGATCACCAGTAAGTCTAATTTTGAACATGTTGGGTTACAATGACTAGTATTGCTCTTGCTCCCTCATTTGCAGGCCTGAGATGATTCCCAGAGGGAAGGGGCTTCAAACAATGGACGGGAGACGATTCCAAAGCACTCATGAAGGTATGTCAATAAATGGGTGTTCTATCATCATGAGTAGTGTTGACTAACATGTATTCTTACTACTATAGGTGTATATACCTGCGATCAAAGGCCATGTACAATCGGAGATGGTGCTGACTTTGCAAGCCTTAATTGATTTTATATACATTGCACAGCACAATATCATTAACTCCAACAGCCTCAATGCATTGGACGATGCACTCGAGTGTTTCCATAGGCACCTGCAAAATATTTGAAACATCTGGTGTTTGCCCGTAATGGATTCAACCTCCCTCGACAACACTCACTTATTCATTACCACAAGATGATCTGATCATTTGGCACACCAAATGGACTCTGTTCTTCCATCATGGAATCTAAACATATCAAGGCTGTCAAGAAGTTATGGCAATGGTCCAGTTAGTTTGAAGCCCTCAATCAGATGTTACTGACGAATCAACATCTAGATAAGTTAGTGGCATCTCGTATCAACTTTGATAACTGTGGGATGCTAAGAGGAACATGTCTATCATATATCCTTGACAAACTTGGTATGTCTACTAGTATTTGTCCACTACTAGTATCACTAACACAAATCACACACCCATAATCCACAGGGCTAAATGCTCCAGTGTACAATGCGGAAGACATTCAAGTCTGACTTGAGGACGAGCCTAGTATTATTATTCCCCATCTCAGACACAACGATCATGTGAATGCCGACTCAGAGGCTGATGCAGACCAAGATGCTGAGTTTGAGGGCGACACCATTACTGGACTGATGATGATAGCTCATGTGGACTTGGCAAATAAATCTGGCAAGTGGAGTGGTACATTCACCTGGTGTGCTTTTGCTTACAACAAATTTTAATGTAGCAAAACAGATCTACCCAGACCTCCCCACAGATCAAATTGGTGAACCAGAACTCATAACTCATATTCAGCAAATTTTACATGACCAGCTCCATCATTCTGACTCCAGCTCAGAGGCCTCCAAGTCCACTGGCTCATTCAGTGCCCTTCCTGAGCTATATGAAAATATAACTCTGTATACATCTGCTATTGCCACCTTCTTCGCCCCAAGTGATGTCTCAGGCATCGGTGGTATGTGCTATGAGTGAATTCATGCTGTGGATACCTAGAGGAATGGCCCTGGTTGATATGACTGTGTTTTCGTTAGTACTGATCCCACTGTTGAGGGTATGCATGGCTTCTCTATTCGTACAGCACACCTTATGCCCGTATTTGGGCATGAATTTGTACCTACTTATCTCTCTTACATGCAGACCCTTGATGCTTTCCGCACTTACCATGTAAATAAATACATTGATCATCAGGCATTTGAGATTGTCTGGTGACCTTATTCTTATTGGCTGGATAATGCTACACATTAGGAATATATATTATATACTTGGTTGGCTTAGGGATTACTTTGCATAGTGCCTATTAACTTAGTTATATCACAGTATAGTATTGATTACTTAAAAATAACCTTCTTACTTGAACACACTGTTCTGCAGCCTCTGTGCTGAATTTTGGCCATTCATCACTTAATATTATTGTGTTTTCCTTTATGAACAATCCTCAAAGCAGAAATTAAGTTGGAATGATTTGCTTTGACAACTTGGTGAACTTAGCGTCAAATTAAGTCTGTGTAAGTGAGGTAAGGTGGCTAAGACTTTTCCCATTTTCCTGATGCAGTTTGAGACTCATTTCTGTCTTGTATTTAGTTTTTTCACTTCATTTCGATAATCCATTACATATAGTACTAGTGTTTTATATGTACTGAAACATAGTTCTACACTTTGCTGACCATTCAGCAGTTCGTTCAAGTAGTACTTAAGGACCATAGAAATCCCTGTAGTAAATAAGTTCAAATATTACTATTGTCACTAGTGTTCCCAAATCCCCGCATGACTCAAGTTTTACCTTTTGTCAATTTCTGAGTCTTAGGAGTTTTGTCTTCAAAGACTACCAAACCCCTCCATCTTCTACTCTGGTGAAGAAGAGGAATATAAACTGTGGGGAAAGTTGGTGCTAAGCTAAGCAAACACAGATAGACCCAGGCACGAGTATAATCATCGACCCAAGGGCAGCTAACTGGGTAAAAGGAAAACCTCTCCTATAAAAAGAGGGACACCAAACCAATGATAGGGAGATAAATCACTAAGGCGCGCGAAGCGCAAGGTGAATGTGTTGTGAGAAGCAAAAGGCAAACACACGTGGATGCGAACTGCGAGAGAGCGAAGTGCAGTGACGCGAAAGTGAGCGTGCGCAAGCGAAGGCAAATGGCGAACAAGTGAGAGAGAGTAAGGATAGGCGATATGAAAGGACTGTTAACACCTCAACTAAGGTTGGCTGATGCTAAGGCAAAGGCGGATATGCGGATGCGCGAGACTCAGATAGTCACTGGCAACAACGAGTAAAATTCCTTGTATCTAAGACACAGTGAAAGTGGGCGGAAAATCGACCCAGAACATAAGTAATAGGAGGGTATAAGTAAAGTAGCTAAGCGGTGCTAGGTGCACAGGTCCGATGTAACAAGCCGAACAGGCTAAAAATAGTATGCGGTGTATGTAACAGGGTCTCGGTTACGTGCGAAGTGCAGAGCCAAGTATTAGCAATGGAAACCAATTAATTGAAAAGGGAATATGATGGGAAAATGCACCAATGAACATCTAAGGACATGGGATGGACGGATGGACAAGTGTGTGGACAATGTGAGTGCAGATGTGCGAAGTGCGCGAACCTGCGAGGCTGCATGCAAAAGCTGCAAAATAAAATATAAGTGCGCTGATGTGCTAGACATATCCTATGGATTAGAGCTGGAGTTTGTAGGGAAAGTGGGAGAATTTGGAGGGAAGTGCCTGTGGAGACTGTGAGGCTCTACACCAGACATCATCCAAGTAGTCTATTTTATTCTCTTTCTACTCCAGACATCATCTGAGTAGTCTTATCTTGTCTCCACTTTCACTCCAAACATTGTCCAAGTGATCTCTCCTCATCGCATTCCCACTCATCATATCCTGCCTCAGGTTATATCCAAGTGCACTCTCTGCACTCCTCTTCCTACTCCAGACTTCATCCAAGGCAGTCTAAACCCACATCCATACCTACTTCAGACAACTGTCCAATAGTAGTGGACTAGAAAGTGCATATGTACTCTACATCAGTATCCACCAGACCTATCATCTGTAGAACCAGAATCCACCAATCTCTGGTCTTCAGATTCCATTGGTTATCTCCCCTCAAAATCTAGGGCCCATATCTGTTATGGACTTGGATAGTATCTGTTGGCAACACTCAAACAGAGTGTATGTTGTCAATGGTCGAGGATATCCTTGGGCTTGCCCAAGGTTAGGAGTCTTGCTTGGCGAGGCTTCAGAAAGCAAGGTTTAATGCCTATGTCCAAATTAGGTAGCTTATGTCAAGTGAAGCTCAACGATAAGCAGTGTCTACCAAGGCTTACTGACACCCGAAGGTTAATTGTAAGATCTGCATTAATAGAAGGATGGAATTTCAACTAGTAACAGGGGTTCTGCTCAATGAAGAAGTTGATGAGTAGAAATTGAGACTAAAGACTTATCTGCAATGAGCAGATAAAAAGATAGAATATAGACAGCTGGCTAGGCTGAAAGAATCACTCTGGTAAGAATAGGAAGTCAAGAACCAAGTAGATTCAAGTTAAGGAACTAGATACATGGTAGCGAGTTTATATAGAGGAGAGGAAGTGTATTAGTGGATGATAACTCATACTACCGGAAGAGGGAATGGTCAAAGGGTGATACCATAGAAGGAAAGCATATCCAAGGTGAGTCATAGGTGAACCAGAATGTGCAGATACGAAGTGAGTCAAAGAACAGAAACGAAAAGTGAAACAAGCAGGGGCATGATGGTGCAAATGCGGATCTAAGTATATGTACAATGTGCAACTGCACACTGAGTCATAGAACAAGAAAAGGAAACTGGGCAAAGGGATGCAGCATGCATCATATCATAGGTTACTGTCTGGACGGTAAGGGTTAAGGGGACTGTCCACAGGATCAGTCATCGGATGAAACAGAGCATGGATATGCTTTGTCTGAGAAAGGGTCCAGCCAGATGTACTGGCTCTGCTGAAGCGAAAAATAGAGAGCGAAAGGGAATACAAGAATGACAAGGATAACAAGAGCAAGGTCAGGGTAAGAATGTGATGTGTGGGCTGAGACGAGGAGGATGAGGAGAAAAATGGTAGGGGCCCAAGCGTCTAGATGTTCCTGTAACAATATCTAGTAAAGGGGCATAGTATGTGAGCTAAAGCCAAGCCCTTTTGGATCTGTCTATCATAAGAACATTCTGCTTCTGGTTCTTAATATTGTTGTACACATACAAGAGCATATATTCAGAGTTCTAGTTAGTAGGTGCTCCTCCTCTCTTTCCACCCCTTTTAGCTCCTTTACCTCTGCCCCTCTTCTTCTTGGTTTCAGACCCCTCACCCTTCTGTTCCTTAGTCTTTAACTTTTCTTTACCCTTTTTGGTCTCTGTGTTAGCTGGAGAGGTGGTAATCTTAACTTCCTCAAGAGATTTGACCTTCTCTTCCAGGGAAGTTACTTTAGCCATCAAAGTCCTAAGAGTGTCTTGAACATCTAGGTGTAGAGCTTTATTCACCCAGTGGATCTCGCCATCCTCAGACATTGAGATGGGCTGTAGGTGTTACAAGAACATCTAGATGCTTGGGCCCCTACCATTTTTCTCCTAATCCTCCTCGTATCAGCCCTCGCATCATACCCTTACCCCTGACCTTACCCTTGTCATCCTCGTCATCCTCGCATTCCCTTTCGCCCTCTACCTGTCGCTTCAGCAAAGCCAGTACATCTGGCCGGATCCTTTCGCTGACGAAGCATACCCGTGCTCCGTTTCACCACCTGACTGATCCTGTGGACAGTCCCCTTGCCCTTACCGTCTGGACGGTAACCTATGACATGATGCACGATGCATCCCCTTTGCCCTATTCCCTTTCTTGATCTCTGACTCGGTGCGCAGTCGCACATGCGACTTATACTTAGGTCCGCAGCTGCACGATCGTGCTTCTGCGCATTTCACTTCTTATTTCGATCTTTGACTCACTTTCTTACCAAGCACGTTCTACCTCAACCAAATGTGCCTTCCTGTTATAGTTATACCCTTTACCGATTGCCTCTCCCAGTAGTACGAGTTATCACCCACTAATACGTCTCCTGTCCTCTATATAAACTCGCTACCATGTACTATATTCCCTAACTTGAATCTACTTGGTTCTTGACCTCCTACTCTCACCAGAGTGATCCTTCTGCCTCGCCAGCAGTCTATATTCTATCTTCTTATCTGCTCTCTGTGGATAAGCCTATAGTCTCGACCTTTACTCATCGACTTCGTCGACGAGCAAAGCCTCTGTTAACTAGTCGGACTTCTGTCCTTCTAATTAACGACGATCCTTACGATTAACCTTCAGGTGTCGTAAGCCTAGGCCGATATAGCTTATCGTCTCGCATCCGCGTGACATAAGCTACCCGATTTGGACATAGGCGTTAAATCGTACTTGCCGAAGACACACCAAGTACGACCCCTAACCTTGGGCTAGCCCAAGGACGTCCACAGACCGTTGACGACACAAGCTCTGTTTGAGCGTCGCCAACAGATACCATCCAAGTCGTAACAGTAGGTTCTCCTCCTTTCTCTTGTTATTGAGGATAACAAGTCTATTGCACTTGCTTGGTGGGTGCATACATTTGGTTACAGGGCCACCAAGACAGAGCAAACACATCTAAAAATAAGTTCAGTTAGTTTGAGTGCAAGGTCAGGAGAGTCTTAGCTAACATACCTTAACTCTTTTCAAAAAGATTTCTTCACCATCCACCTTAATCTGAGTTTCTTCTAGAGTCATCCACTCATTAATGAATGTGTCCTCAGATGCTCTGACCATCCAGATAGTTGTGAATTGTTTTAAGTCACTGTAGAAATTTTACAGTTAGTTCCAGATAAAGTAAGACTTTTGAAAATGAGCTTACTTCAGGATCTGATACATCACAGCCTCACCCTCTTTCCAATGCCTCAGGATAGCTATAGCCTTTTGCTGTGTCATGTCATCTGGACTATCAAGTAGCCAAGCCCAGGTGGCAAAGATACCTTCTCTAGCCAATGGAACAGGCCAAAAGCCTTGCACCAAGACTAATTCAGGAGAGAACTGCATCTTTCTCTGAAAATAGTCAGTAGAACAACCCTGTTGAGGGGTTAACCCTATCCAAAACACCCCTTGAGGGTAGATAATCCTACTCAGTAAACTGTTATCTGTTCTACTAATATGCTCCTCTATATCAGCTACCTCCTGGAACCCAATACTCTTGTTCTGGTCAAGGGAGTGAGCCAGTACAACACTCTCACAGCTAGGATAAGAGATAAGGGCACTAAGGTAGATGGTATTAAAGGGTTTTGACTTAATGTCAATATAGGTCCCTTGATTCTTTCAGTTAAGTTCAAGCCTCCAAAGAGTAGTACATACCTTTGCTGTAGAGCATCATGGGTGAAATTGGAACATCCAGTGCCATACCAGCATCATTTCTAGCAGCTGGCTTATTATCCTTCTTAGGTTTCTTAGCCTTCCTATCTTCAAAAGGAGAAGTAGCCCTCTTGCTATGAGCTTTGTTGATAACAGCAGCAAGTTCAGCCATAGTAAGATGTAAGGTGGTGAAAAGATAAGTGAAAGACACAGAAGATGATGAGAGAGTTGATCCTGATTCATCTTTCAGTTTCTGCCCTCATTATATGCTTCACAAGCCTATTGTCTAGGGTCTCATTGTTTTATAAATCATTGTCTTCAGGATTCATTGTTCCATGACTAATTATTATGCAGCATATTGTGTCATTGTCTAATGCTAATATTAGCTTAAGAAATCCATTGTTACATAAAAGTGCTATTCTTATTATCATCACTAGATTGTATCTTGTCATAAGCACCCTTTTGCATATTTTTGTCGGATTGTCTATTTGCTAACTTGTATATCAATACCTTGAGTATACTATGTTCTGGCCATTAGATCAAGGATTCTAACCCCCTCTCCTCCACCCTCTGGGGAAGATGTGTTATCTATAGACATAGCAGGAACACACATGTGTATGAGCATCTAGGTCTTCCATAGAGTGCAACAAACTTGAATGAAGTAAGTCAGTGCCCACTACTAGACTCAGACCAAGTACTGTACTAGTAGAGTTACAACCATAACTTCACACCCTTAGCTTCGCAGCTTCATAGGTCCTTGTGACATGTGACCTATCCAAATTAGCTTTGTCTTCAACTGACTCTATCCCTATATTTGGTGCTCTTGTGAGAGCTTTGACAAATTTTAGACAAGCAAGTCATGGAGGCTTATCGTATGTGATTAGCTGCGTAGAAATGAGAAAGGGCAGTTTTTTTCTTCTTCTTATTTTACCATGTCACAAAATAGCTTCATGACACCAAATTTGGTGTGACAGTCACTTCAAATAGCTTCGATTCGTCAGCCTGGGGGTGTGACGAAGTTATGGTCGTAACTCTACAGTATACTGTCATTAGGTAAGCATTTGATCACATGGGGACGCAATTGAATCATTCTTTCAACCTCAGGCTGAACAGGTACCACAGGAGTAGTACCATCTTTCGAACGAACCATCATCCAAGTCTCAGCAACCGTCCATTCTGGTTTGTCTCGCACCAAGGAAATCTTCAAAACAATCCTCGGTACCTAAACATTTACCTCTTTGACAATATCTATGTCGTTGATCATATTCAAAATGCAGTCTATGTTATAGTTTTGCGTCATGAATCAGTCAGGTCTACCTACTCCACCACCTACATCCGCCACCAACCCTGCACAATCGTCATCGAACGCAGCTGGTCAATCTGCGAGTGATGTATCGTTAGGCTCTATTGTTGCGACGATAACCTCGGCGTCAAGTCCTCTCCAATTAAACCAATATCTGAGGAGTTGTGCATCAAAAGATGTTAGAGAAGTCCTGCTGGCCAGCATTTTGCCAGGTAGCCAAGATCCATTAAATCTGTTGAACGCGCGAGATCACACACTTGGCATGCTTTACATTTTGTGAGTTTTATTGGAAAGTTTCATTATGCACACTGATCTCCTGAAGGTCTGCGCGACTGCATACTGTCGCGTCTGATAAGCCTTTGTGGCACCATATCGAAAGTTTTTGCCGCGATTTTATCTCTGAACATGCTCGCGTTGCTCCGGATCGAGGTTAGCCTGTCCTTACTCGAGTACTGGTACAATGAGGCCATATACATCCAGTGACACTTCTTGCAACTGGAATACGACAATTTGCTGAAGTTGAAGGAAATGTAAGATATCTTATTGACTCGGCTTTTCACTTGATCTCAAGTTTCCTAGCCCAAACTTGCAATCGCACCATTGTCTGATCTGCTTGCAAAATATCCTCCGACCCTTTCACATCTCACTACCATTCACCCTATTTTCCTGACGGTAGGATTGCCAACTGTGATGCCTCTCCAGCTTGCTGAATCGCCAGCATTACAGGTTTGCGTCGCCACTCGCCATTTCACAGCCGCGATCCCCGTCCTGGCTCATTCGATCACTACAATTGATCTCTCACTTTCCGACTTGACCTACCACGATAATTTAATATACCACTACGCTGGCGGTATCGCACTGGCAGCACTGAAGAACTGGCCAGCTGCAGAAGAACTCTTTGAGATCTGCGCATCAAGTCCAGGCACAGCGGCTTCGGCTATTCAAATGGAAGCACTAAAGAAGTTGGTCCTCGTACAGTTGATATACCGCGGAAAGGTACGAGTATCTCTATAGGCGAACGCTTCGCTCACGCACTCTGATTGGTCAGACATCACCTCCTTCCAAGTACATGCACCCAATTCTTATGCGACTGTTCAAGGCAACTCCATATTCAAGTTTTACGAATGCATATCCTCTGCAGCGCGACTACCTTCGCGCGATAGTCGAAAACGAGCAGCAGCTATTCGCCAATGTACGAGACTGAAAGCGCATGAATCTATGTATCGTTAACCATTCGTATAGGAAAGAACTCTTGGTCTCATCACCCAGGCACTCGATCGCGCGCCTCGTTGGGCTATAAAGAAACTTACAACCACTTACCTGACGTTACATTTATCCGATATCGGACGAGAAGTGGGAATTTCTGACGAGAATAAAGTGAAATCCCTGATTTTAAGCATGGTAGGCTTTTTTCCCTTGGCGAATTGTACAAATAACTGATGGTCTCTGCTAGATCGAGTGCTCAGAAATCTCCGCGGAGTTGTCTGCAGATGGGACTGTGTCATTCTCAGACCCACCAGTGAAATTTGAGAAGAGTGATGTTGATCGAGTGTTGGCACAGGCGCAACAGCAGGACGCCGTCCTTGTGAGGCTTGAGAAAGAGATGGAAAGGAACAAAGAATATCTGACAAAGGTATGTCATCGACGTACGATGCTGTCGGTTCCGATGCTATTCTCTGCTTGGCCACGTTGCTTTAATGTTTTTGGATGCTGATAAATATCCAGGCCGTCAAGAGCAAGGACGACGCAGCTTGGGGACCAGCGATGGATGAAGATGGTGCATTTGGAGACCGTCCATCAGGTAACTGGGCTGAAGATATCAGCTTTGCTTGAAGTAAACCGCTTTGTACTGATCTATTCGATACGATTTGTCACTAATCAGTTTCATCATGACGTTGAATCAGCACCCGTGAGTTTACCTAAATATACCAAGATTCTACTATTGCAAATTGGGACACGGAGGCCGTGTGCCACAGGGTGAGGGTGCCTGCAGTCTTCGGGAGCTTCCTGTATTGGCTTTCAAGTTCTTTCGATCATCACGGAGTGCGGCCGCTTAGCACCTTATCCTAGTTCGCTAACATCCGAGGCATGTTGCTTAGCTTTCACACAAATATATTCTTCGTTCACGCTGATGTGAGTTACCACCAGAGTATCTCAGTCTTGATTCAACTTTGGCCGCCGTTGATATTAATCGGGTAGCAGCGCACCAAACCCATGGGAACAAAACCCACAGACTCGATGGATGAGATGACGCACTGATGGAAAGTTCTATCGGCACTTTGCACGAGCACGAAAAGAATTTGTATTATGCGTGCGCGATATATATACAATCCAAGTTATATCAATATCTATATTCACGAGGATTTGGTGTAGCCGTGGTATTGTGCAACGGTATCCCAGAAACTCTTTCCTTGGATGGCAGCAATCTCCATTTCGAGAGGTGAAGGCTGACGGGAGCCGTCCGTGCCTGCATAGGTTCCCGCGCCCCAAGAAGAACCTGTTCGGAAATAGAACGTTTGATAAATTAATGCACGCGCAGCCACTCATTTGACAGAGGTGCTTACCACCGTGGATCTCGGTCAGGTTAGACAACTGAGGGAAGGAGTGCTTGTAGCCGAGGGGCACGTAGATCAGACCGTGGTGCACGAAAGTGGACAACGTGTTGGAAATAGTGATCTCCTGTCCGCCACCTTGGGTACCAGTGGAGACAAACACACCGCACATCTTGCCCTGAAGAGCACCCTTGCTCCAGAGAGGGCCAGTGGCATCCCAGAATGCCTGTATGAGTGCGTCAACGGATAGGTTCAACTCTGCAGATACGAGGTAACGTACCTTCCATTGAACGGGGAAGTTACCATAACGGGTGGGGACACCGAAGAGGAAGGCGTCAAAGTTGACAAGGTCATCAGGGAGGAGGACGGGGTAGTCAGGTCTAGGGGGTGCCTTGACGAGCTTCAAGATGTCATCGGAGAGGGTCTCCTGGATCCTGGAATGAAGTTAATGTGGGCTCATAGGTGATAAGTAGATATGGACGGACTGGTAGATGGAGGCACTACCACCAGCACCACTGATACCAGTCTTCACGGCCTCCGCCACTGTGAAGGATGTATTAGCAAGGAGGCGGATGTACGGCATGGAAAACGCACTCTTTGTGATGTGGCCGTAAAGGGAGTAGATGACGATAGCGACTCTAGGGGCAGGCATATTGATTTGAGAGATGGATGAAAGTGGAGGAAGAACGGGGGGAGGAACTGGCTGTTCTGGTTGATTTGATGGAGCTTTTGTATCTACAGGTGTGGGTTTTAGCTCGGTGAGGTTATCTTTTTGTCGTTTTCCAGGGAAACACATTCCGAACGGTATTAGTAGAAAAAAGGCACTGGCTTCACAGTTGCGAGGATATAACGGGTTTTGAGGTCAGCCTTTAAAATGTAACATTCGCGTCTAGCGTGAGATGGGTGAAATGGCCTGCGAAGCAAATTTGTATCAAGGTTTATGCATGCCACCACAGGATTGGGGTTCAGTAATAGATCGCTTGAATGGGAGCCGTACCGTTGCATAATAATCCGTTCCATTCGATGACGTCTTCTATGGTTTAATCTTTCTGCCTCGCCTTCAGACGAACCACTGCTTTATTGGAAGATATGCGTGTCCAAACCACTGCCATATCAGGATGAAGTTACCGTGGATACAGCATGCAGCCTAGTACACACCTTGATGCCGCATCTCGGACTCGGTTGTCCCCTCCGCTGCAGGTGGGAGGCCGGTCAGTCGTGATTGTCGATCTTGCCGCAGCCTGGTTTCCCCGGGGCCATGTGAGAAATTTTAATAGAGCCTTCAGCGCTGGAACATTCTGGCTTGAACGCCCAGATCATGATGCCATTCCGTAGTAACTCCAGCTTGGATTCTGTGTGTGAGAAGTAAGACTTTTTAGCGTCGGGTGAATCATCATTGTTCCGAATAGGGACAAAAGTTCTTGGGGATGAGGCACGTGTGTTCAATCGTCCAGGTATGGTTCTTTAGTGTGGGTCGAAACATACTGCATTGGTGTTTTTGCAATAACTTGATAATCGCGCTGAGTCACTCAAGATCATGGTCAAGCAAGGACAAAGTACTCGAATTCAATACAAATACTCGATCAGCTCCTCATATCATCCTTCATCTCAAACTACCATTCAAAATGTCGTCTCCCAGAGTCGCAATCATCATTTACTCCATGTACGGCCATATCGCCAAGTGTGAGTACAAACCATCCAGAATATCATCCCACCCGTCCTAATTTATCTTATCAGTGGCCGAGTCCGTCAAGAGTGGTGTCGAATCTGCTGGCGGCACCACCACCATCTACCAGTATGTTACCATTCCTGCGCTATCCTCTTACTTACTGCATCAATCATGATCAGGATCGGCGAAACTTTACCCGCGGAAGTCCTTGCAAAGATGCATGCTCCTGCAAAGCCGAATTATCCTATCATCGCACCAAGTGACCTTGCCAACTTTGATGCCTTTATCTTCGGTGTCCCTACTCGTTATGGCAATTTCCCCGCCCAGTGGAAAGTATGTTTCTGATCCGTTCTGGTCTCTCCAACATTTCTAATTATATACTTCACTCTCTCAGGCTTTCTGGGACGCAACTGGTGGGTTGTGGGTCAGTGGTGCCTTGGCCGGCAAATTCGCGGGTGTCTTCGTTTCTACCGGCACTCCAGGTGGAGGACAGGAAGCTACCGTCATCAACTCCCTTTCTACTCTCTCTCATCACGGAATCATCTACGTTCCCCTGGGTTACAAAACCACTTTTGCACTACTCTCTAACATGACTGAAGTTCGCGGTGGTATGTTTTATTCCCTTCCGTCGGTTATATCGAGGGTTGCTAATTGTTACTTCTACCCAGGTTCCCCTTGGGGTGCAGGCACTTACGCTGGGCCTGATGGCTCACGCCAGCCTACAGCCCTCGAACTAGAGCTCGCTACCCTCCAAGGCAAGGGCTTCTGGGAGACCGTTTCCAAGTACAATTTCTAAAACCATATATAAACATGCATACAGTATTCGAAAAGTTTTGTAGTAATAGGTACCATCCGTGGAACAGGGATCAACTTTGACGCGTGAACCATTGCTCGCTTAGTCCAGGGTTGTTGCGCGTTGTTTGACTGGAAACAACTCCTGATATCGCCGTGTGCGTACTTGGACTTGAGGAGCAGTCTTTAGTCGCAGTCACTGTATGCGTATATGCAACACTTTCATACAAGTAGTCGCGCAACTAAATTTCATCCACAATACTAGACTGCCCTTTCGATCACCAGCAGTCGCAGCGGTAGTCTTCGGCGGTTCTTATGTTTCAGCTCCGATAAACACACGGGACGTCAAGAAAGCCTCAAATAAGCGCAGATCGTTTTCGAACAACAGGGGAACTTACCACGCTCAGAAATTCCATGGACACACAAGCGACACACTAGCTCCAGTCTCATGACCTTTACGTATGATACTGAGTGCAGTCGTCAGGTCTCATCATCAATGCACTGACGTCTATGTAAGCGATCGTCGTTGCTGAGAACTTGTAACCATTAATCAAACAGTTTACACGCGATTCGTTGCTGAATTCGTTGTATATTGCGGGAATACGTTTGAGAATAACACCACGATAAGCGATGGGCACCCGTGAGGAAGTGATGAACATACTACCGTCGGGGTCCGTTGGTAGCCATACGACAATGAAGCATAAACGGGACCCGACATTCATGCTCCATGATGCAGTCAGTGGGCATGCCCAACTCTGTATTTTTAGGCGACCTCTTCCATGTGATTATGGTTGGCTAAAGAGAATGTTCTTGGCTCCAAGACCGTTTGGCCGTCAGATGTTAGATGTTGTTTGCAAATGGCAACGACCTTCAAGGTAGTGGGGCGTCGCGTCATCATTGAAGGGGCAGAGAGTTTCTTGGAGCCATGTCCTCCATGCGTAGTCGCTGCTATAAGTTGAAGGACTGCCAACAACTCGCCAAAAGCAGATGTTATGAGCACGTCAACAAGTGAAGTTTCTCCTACAGCAGCTTGTATCACAAGTAAAGCCACCGGGAGACATAAGTGTGTGACATGAGGACCTGGTGGAATGCAAACTGGCGTGTGTTCGTTCGCTTGTCTTAGGATATCGAGTCAAATGAAATACGATGATATTGGTCAAACCCGTGTACCATAGGAAGCGTTCAGCAGTGTCGCTAGAAAGGTCACCAAATCACCACGAGGCTCGGAGGAATGCGATAGATCGATAACCGACATCGCTCGATGGCTGAGGTCATAGAATCATCCCTCGGGAGGACAGTGCCAGGTTTTCCGGCCTGGTCTGATACGGATGGATGGCCCTCACCGAAGCAGGAGTAGGCCGTAGGCTTTCGCTTAGGACTGAGGGTCGGTTGAATCTTACTGTTTCTGATGGCCTAAAAAACAGAATGAATTCTTGGTCGACACGTCTGTTGTGAGGATAGAGGGAAAACGTATCATCAAAAGAAGATATGGAAAAGGAGAATTCATCCAAGGAAGGACGCTCCCGAAAGTTTAGGAATGGTGATATGTAATACGAGAGTTCTAGTCTGCTCAGGGCCAGCAAAGTAAAGGCGTAGAGTAACGCACCTCATATGTTTTGATATGCGTCTGTCTGCGGTAAAATCGTCACGTGTGATGGTGACTCGCTCATCGCACTCATGTGTTGTCGTCATTCACCACCCACCTCGACGAGACCCATAGGGTCGGCCTGTCAAAAGAGCTCTTCAAAATATAATATACAACAAAAATAATCACAAGCAAAGGAGATCGCTGACAGTATGCACCCTGATGGAGTACATCCGCTGAACAAAGGGACGGCCACAACGAAAAACTCCCATACGCTGCATTTGATCGCCGTGATATGCTGTACCCAATTCCTTAAATGTATGGCAAAGATAATCAATAAGGCTTGAACCGCCGTGATTCCTTCAGTTGTTCTACACGTTGCTTGTCCGCCTCGAAGTTCTTCTTCAGGTCGAGTATAGCTATATGCACATAAACCGACATCCTCGTGAAAAACAATCTCGTACTCACCTTTCCGTTGTTTTTCAGCCTTCTGGAAGGCATAGAAGGCACCCTTCTCCTTATTTTTACCCTTCTTTCTTCCACTTCCAGTCTTCCCAGTAAGCATAAACTTCTTGCTGGCAACGCCCACACCTCCGCCAAGCGTTTGTCCGTAAGCACCTCCTCTAGTAACGAGCGTGAACCCGTCCTCGTCCACAATTGCCTCCCCTTTCCGGTACTTGGCTTCTTGTTTATTCTTCGAAAGGTCAAATTCAAAGCGTTCCATAAAGCTGTCTGCGTGAGCTTTGATAGCGTCTAGCGGAGGCCGCTCTTTATCATATTTTGCCATATAATGAGAAAGACCACGGGGTTCCTCCGAAGATGGCCATGGCTTGGGTGACGTAGGGGACAAAAGTGCTTTTGCAAGAGATGAAGCATCGGAAAATATGAGATGGGCACAAGACCCAGTTTTGCGCAGTATGCGAAGGGATGGAGAAGGGAGGGGTATCACTTGAGGAGGCGTGGGCTCGGAAGTCTGGAGCTTCCTTTTCTTGCGAGGTCGTGCTTCAGTATCGGAGTCTTCAGCAGCCTCGGCCATCTCCTCGTCAGAATCAGATGCGTGCTCTGCCAGAGCGTCGGCAGAGTTAAAGTCAAATAAGACGCGCTCTACGGTCCCACAGTCTTTGAATAGCAGTATGAGCTCACGCTCTGTCGCATCTGGTGGCACGTTGACTAAGAACAGCGTGCGTCCTTCAGGTAGAGCATTTTTAGGTTTGAACGATTTGGATTTAGGAGGGGCATGAGCTCTCGCATAGATGAAATGCGATGAACTTGTGTATGCAATTGGAATGACAGTGAAACCCGATAGACATTTCGGTACAACGGACATGGCGAATCACTCAGATGATCAAGGCAATTTTTCACAAGGTTGTTTGGATCGAAGGCTTTTGCCAAACAAACAACTGCCAGTGTGCACTAGGGTTGCAAATGAAACCATTCGGGCAATCGTCGTCCACGTGGTGATACGGTAGCCCCTCCTCTCATAGTCCGCATGCACCTTCTACGCACTAACTTGAAGTATCGGTGTGCCCTTTCTCCTGTGCGCCTCCCGCCTACGCTCCTTTTTCAGTTTCTACACAGCACACATCATCAGGGGAATCGGATTTGCTTTATGGAACTCGATGGTTCGATGGGAACGTGATACTGCTGGTGAGATGTTCTGGCTTTGGTGTCATCCCTTGGGAGTGCTACTACGTGCTGTGCACAGCGTACGGATTCTGCACCCGCTCAAAGAATATTATATTCATTATTAGTCCACGCGCTGACGAGACGTACCGATCTACGGCCTTGAAATTTCAATTGGACTGAGGTAAGTACTTCATCCTGATGGTAACATAGCCACTGATATGCAGTTATAGCAAGGTCCCTGCAACCACGGCATGCAAAACTAACCCAACTCGTCATCACCTTCACCCCGTATATCTCATTCTGCCATCTTTTATCGATCAAGGTCATGTCACACGAAGAGGCCGAGTCAAGCATGTCGACGAGACGGGGAGAAGCGATAATGCACTCACCGGCATATCGGACGAGTGCGAATGATCCACCGCCATATGGTGCACAGCACCGCCAGGATGCACTTTGGGAAGGTGAGCAGCTATTTTGTGATACCCACCAGCTTACTCAATTAGAAGCAGGTGGGAATGAAGCTCTGCCTCCTAAGTGGCAACAGTGCACCGCGCCATCGGATGGTAAAACACACTATCAAGATCGCACGCTCGGGATGGCCTCGTGGAACCGACCTTTACCGGGAGTGCGACTAGGTGAGGGATGAAATTACGAAAAGGAGCGACGAACTCACGGTTGAACATAGATAATCCTGGTGATATCTTTCCAGGATGCGAATGGCACATTTCACCACTCGGTCGGTCGTACTTCATCAACCACAATACTCGAACCACGTCGTGGAAGAAACCCAAGCCAGAACGTCCAGCAGGAAGCTTGAAGCCAGAGTGCGTCATCGAGGGTCACTCCGAATGCATATGGTACCTTGCCTACTTGAGTACCAGTGACAATATAATGAGCGCATCTCAGGGTAGTTCGATTCGTCAGTGGAAAAGAGACGGAGAGCCGGTAGGAAAGGCTTTGAATAGCGATAGGGGAGGGATAGGCTCGATGGCAGTCTCTGCGGATGAAACAATGCTCGTTTGTGGAAGTGCAGGCGGCTCACTGCAGTTGTAGAATATAAAGGAGGGCAGCATGATCGAAGATCCTTGGGAGGGGCATGATGCTCCAGTGAGGTGCCTCGATTGGTCTTGCAATAGCCTGGAAATAGCAAGTGGATGTGAAGATGGCACCATACGACACTGGAACCCAGATAATGGTCGACAAATAGCATCACCCATAGAGACCAATCACGGATGGGTCGAAGTCGTGAAATACTCTCCAGAAGGCGACAAAATTGCGAGTGGCGGCATGGATATGGTGATCCGCGTGTGGTCAAGGAACGGCAAGCTGCTTATAGAGATCAAAGGACATGAAAACTATGCTATATCATTGTGTTGGTCCAAAGACGGTGCACGCATCTTCTCTGCATCACTCGATCGCACTATCCGAAAATGGCAGGCGATTGATGGATAGTTTTTCGGGGTCACACCAATACCGTCAAATCCGTCTGTCTTTCTCCCAATGAAAGCTATATCGTTAGCGCGTCAGATGACTACTCCATTCGCATCTGGGATCTCAAGACCAATCAGCCAGTCGGAGATCCATTCTTGTATGATGACCATGTCTGGGCTGTCGCTATATCCCTCGATGGAAAATATCTATGTATGGAGCCTGGAGGCGGCACTCAAAGTTGTGGTATGTATGTGCTTTGTTAATTGCTTAATTCCCTGCCTAACAGTTTTGGTGATTTAGGGTGCGGATAACGGGAATGCAAAGCTCAAGGCAAGTCATCTCTACTGCTCTTTCACGCTACATCTCACTTTTTGCCAGGGACATCCAGCCCAATGGAGAGCTGTGCGACAACCAATCGTGAGGAATTTCATATTTTCTCATATGTTTCGTTACATTCAGCTCATACTAATTTGACTTTGATACAGGGCAATGATTTCTTCGGAAATGATTCAAATTGCGCAGCTCCGTCTGCGAGTCCATATTTCCTTCATTGGCGCAGTTGGTTTGGTTCCCTCCGGTTCAGTGCCCAACCTAGAGACACGCTCCCACCGTCCCCTCGCCAATCCCGACATTGGAAGTTCAGCTTACTTCCTATAAGAAAGTCAAGCCACGTCGTCGATGTACCTCTGGCTCAAGATGAAGATGTGAGTGGCTAGCTTTCTCTCTCCTTTTATCCCATCAAAACACAATGCAGAGATATGGCATTGTTCCTGAAACTGATGCAGAAGCAGCTGCAGCTATGCAACGCACAGATGGAAACGAGGGTCAGCCAGCAGTGGCACAAACATCTCAAGCACAGCCAATCCGAACACAAGCACAAAGCCCAACTGACGGAGTGGAGGAATGTGTGTATGAAGTGAACTGCTGCGGATTTTTCTTTGGTTGTCGTCGTTGTCGTCCTGCTTCGCACCAGTCATGAAGGATGGAAGACGTGTGGCATGCATACACTCAGTTCAACTTCCTTTCCCCCGCACTGTGTCTGACTCCTCTTATAGTCGACATTCGCGTCATCCACGCACTCGGATCTCCTTTTCCTTGCGCTGCTTTCCCCGGATCCACACTACGCGCTGACAACACTGTCGGGGAAGTTGGCTCCGTTTTCTGGAATGTAGCACTTGGTAATGGTCTTCTGCGCGGGGAACTTGATGTCCGTTAGAAAAGTGACTCGTTGAAACGTTGAAGTTGGATTTCGCCCACAGACCAATTACTGTAGAGCACTGCTCGACAAGATTGAGTGCGTACTGCTCAAATGGTACGCAGATGTGTTTGTAAAAATTGGATTTCCATCCATGAGTCTACTGATTACTCGAAACTTACAAATCCAATCTGTCGATCTCCGCGAGGAGGTGAATGTCCTGAACTATTAGATGTTTTATGTTCATTTGATTTGGTTGTCAAATAAATTTATTATTTGTCGTACTACCACTTATACATCAAATATTCAACGTGCGAATTTGATGACTTCAGCCTTAGCACTCAAACAGTGTGACTCGATGCTATCCTTGATGCGCATGTACTCCTTGCAGCAGTCGTACCTTCTACTAATTGTCAGTCCCGACGCTCCTTCTCGCGCAATATCAATTATCTCAGAGCACTAGGACAACCTGTCAAGCACGTCAAGCTTAAGGGTGGTCACATCCAGGCGGTGCGGTTTCGCAATATCTGAATTCTTAGTATGGAATACCTTGCTCCAGCAGCCTGTTCGTTCCAGTTGCTTTAATCAATATCGCACTATACAGGCTACAACGTGCTTCTGTTGTACAAATCTGATGCCCACCGTAAATGGTCAAGAGGCTATGCGTGGCGCGATATCCTGCGAGGCACTTACGTACCATTGACTGAGATCAGCGCTATACGGTGTGGATGCCACTTGCATGCTGTGATCTCCTCACTTATAAGCCATCGGGACCTCACAAGTTCTGCAGTAT